GCCCGGCTAATTTTTTCTGTTTTTAGTTGTTTGGCTAATTTCTTTCCATTTATAGTAGAGACGGGGTCTCGCTCTTGCTCAGGCTGGTCTCGAACTCCTGAGCTCAAATGATCTGCCCACCTCGGCCTCCCAGAGAGCTAGGATTACAGGCGTGAGCCACCACGCCTGGCCTATGAATTACTTTTTAAACTGGAGAACTTTTCCCAGCCTTGCTCTGAGTCCATTCTGTGGCCACCTGGCTCCAGCCCAGCCCTGGGCACCACTTGCTCATCTCACCCCTGGCACCACGTTCACGTGCTGTGCCTGGCCTGGCCCTGAGGACCTTGACCCCGGGCCATCTGGGCCTGTTCAGTGTGTCCAGCTTGGGTCGTTCAGATACTCTGGGGGTGAGGCCATAGGCAGCTGTGCTGAGACCATTCCAGTAAGCATCTCACTCAGCCTCTGTTCCCCACGAAAGGGTGGGAGGGAGGACTTGGGAAACTGAATGAAGCTTGAGGTCTAGTCCAGCTCTTGCTGCTTACTTCCCTTCGCTCTTTTGCTGGGATTTTCTACCCGAAGTGGCCCAGCTGGACCAGATAACCTGTCGACCCTGGGGTGTGGTGTCTTTGAGAGCAAGAACAGCCAAGTCCCTGTGGAACCACCGTCCTACTCCATCCCTTAAAAAGACGATATGCCTCTGCTTCCTGCCGCCTTCCTCTCTCTCCTAGCACTTGTCTGCGTCCACCCTGTCCCCTTAGAACCCCCTGTCTGTCTTCTAATCTGACACATGGCTGGCAGCATTTCATCCAGGGCCTTCTCTCTGCCGGGGAGACCTGGAAGCAGTCTGGATCCGTAGCCTGCCAGCTGGGTGAACCTGGTCATGTGGACCCTCCTTTCACTGCTTCCCAGGCCTTCTCGTGTGTTCTTCACTCATTCACTCACACAACTCGTTTTTTCACCCACTTACTAATTCATTCACTCTCTCCCTTTTTCACTAACATACTCATTCTCCCCCTCCCTCCCTTCATCATTCCCTCTGGTTCAAGCCCAGGAACATGTCTGGGTATAGACTGGCCTCAGATAGGGTTAAAATGCACACGCAGAGGCAGAAAAACACAGAGAGGTACAGGGACCGTGTGCTCAGAAGGAGTCCCTGAAAGTCTGAGCTGGAGAGGTCTTAACACAGATCTGTCTTCTCAGTTTTCTAGATGGAGTAAGTGAGGCCCAGGGAGGCCCAGGGCTGCCCCAGGCCACTGGGCAAAAGAGGCAGGAGGCAGCTGCTCTCAGGGCACCCCTGGCCAGCCAACGACACCAGAGTCAGCTTTCCCGGCCCTGTCCACAAGCAGAACACATTTCCCAGTTCTGAGTTGGTGACCCTGGGGCTGGGTTAAAGGCACAAGAACTAAGGCAGAGAGTAATGTCCTTAGAGAACTGGACGTGGATTCCAAAGGAGTTATACAATCCGGGCTGGAAGGGCCTTCCGTGCAGACTTCTAAACTCTTCGCTTTACACGTGGACACCGGAGCCCAGGGAGCCTGGCTGCAAGCAGGCCCGGAGGCAGCACCGGAACCCAAATCACAGTGTCCAGCCTATGGTCTTTGGCTGCGCCCACTGCTTAGCAACCATGGATGTTTGAATTCCAGGGAAGCCTCGTTTTCTTGAGGAGAAAACATTTGAAGAATTTTTTCCCCACAAAAACAGTCAAAAACAAACACAAAATATTGTAGGTCTAGAAATGAA